AAAAAGCAGCGACTCTGCATTTTAGGAGGTAACTATTCCAAATAAATCTTATAACTTGAGTGTGATTTCTAGACATTTGTACCAAAATGTTCTAGTTGTTTTGGAGACAGAACAGGTGCTGCAGTAATCGTAATGGCTAGGTTAATTAATATCAAGAATCCATGGATGATCAACTTAAATTACTATGAAACTCAGTAACTTTTAGCGGAGTATCCATACTTAAAGAAGCGTTATAAGTTTGTACAAGCTATAGAGAAGTGGATAAGTAAAAAATAGATTTACTTTATACCTCATTAAATTGTGTATGTTTAGGTATATGCTAGTGAGCTTTCTTGACTTGATTGTTTAAATAGGTTTGTATGAATTATGCCATAATCTGATGATTTTCTTCGTATTACCAATGAAAAAAGAATGTATAGAGAAGCTTCTACAAGAATTTTCCACTCAAGCCCGCCTAGACACGGCCAAGAGGAATCCATCAGCTTCTTCTAATGGGATCGGCTTTCGAAACTCTTCATCTCACACAAGTTCATTGGAAATTGAAGTGAGCCCAAGAATTTCGCTTAGCCTTGTCTACTAAAACGTTATATAATCCTGGATCGACTTGACTGCAGTTTCCAGCGCGCCTCAACCAGTGGCTGAGCGACAGAAAGGTTGAGTGTCGCCACTTTAAGAGCACTATCTTGGTTCGATTCCCGGTTAGGATGAGACTAGTTCAGATGAAATAAAAATAGCAGTTCAGCCTTGATGGCAACGGCACTTCAGAGATAAACTCAAATAGAATTTATTAGTTTTCGTTTATAAGCAGAGTTTCGAAACTTCCAGTAAATCAGTTATCTAAGATGTATTCACCCTATTCCGTATAAGGTGATGAAGGAAAGGTAGTTTATTTTCTGTTGAGATTACTTCCATTTTGAGCGAAATTGTTTGGTGAAGAGGTCTATCCTACCAGAAGATGACGGCGGATCTCTCTTGCCAAATAGTCGATTGGCTTTTCTGGAACATTCTTGTTGACGATGTTTTTTAATTTTCACATAATGATGTGTGTAGAGCTAACGTTTTCATTGAATTTCGAATAGCCTCGCATTCCCACAAGGTCTTCTCATACAGAGTGGAGTGTAGTTTCGACCTCGCCTAGGTCTTATCTGCATCCTCAGCAGGAGTCGAACCATGGCAGTGTAGCGTGTAATTGCGACAAGATAACCACTACGCCACACTGCCATGAATGCCCTTGTGTCACAGGGCAAATGTGAATTTCAAGGAAGGCCGAGCCTTTTCCAATTTCACATTCTTTGGCGGAATTATTGATGTAGCAAAGTTATATTTGCTATGCCAGATAACTAGATTACTTTGTTTCGTTTATAAGTAGAGTTTTAAGACTACTTTCTTGACTACATCTCATATAACTGATTTACTGGTAGTCTCGAAACTCTACTATGTGAAAGTAAGTGGGAACCTCACCTCTACTCATAGCATTGTGGGAAAATTCAATTACCCATCCTACATCATCTTAAACGAAATAGGATGAATACATCTCATATAATTGAAATTCATTATATTGTGAGAAGATTCCACTAGGCATTTTTCTTTACCCTCTACACCGGCCGAGAATTTAATTATTATGTGTATATTTCGTTGATTTGCATTATTATTGACTGAGTGTATGCTAGAAATATGTCTAGGAATGTGCTCCTAAGTTGCTATTGAGCACTACTTAATTATTCCCTAATGAAAGTGAGCCGGTCAACAGGGATGGCAAAATCTCAGAAAGTATAGCCTACTGCAAGTCTGCTAGAATCTGATCAAGGGTTTTTCGATGACTTTCCTGGTGGACTTCCAGACGATCGTCCTCAAATTCACATTTTATAAAAATGTATTCGATTTTGAAGTTGACCAAGCAGCACAACTTCATTTAACCTAGAAACAATCCTGACTCAAGGATAGCATGACAATTGGTTCACTCTCTCTTTAAGCGCTCTAGTCGCCTTAGGCCGTATAAGATATTGAAGGACTGATAGTTGCATTTTACCAGCGCCCCCAGCGGGAATCGAACTCGTATACTGTAGGGTAAAATTTCTACCTGTTTTTTCTACGCCGGACTGCAATTAATGCTTCTGGGTCACAGGACAAACGTGAATTCCCACATCTAATCTGTAGAAAAGGCGAACTTGTATTTCCCACTAAAATCGACTACATTACTTATATTCATAGAAAGTAAGTCTCGAGACTATCTCTATTTGTTCGCGTATAACCTTCGTATGGACACTGTTACGGGTGTAGCCTCGTCTGAAGACGTTCCAGCCCCTCGAGAGCTGGGGTTCGACGGCGCATTGGTAGAAACCTTTTGGCCCCGTTTGTCATTCTGCCCACGCCAGCTCACCTAAATCCGGCAACCTTCAAACAAAGAGTTATGACCTGTTGTCCTGTGTTGGGGCAAGACAAACAATATGCGGCCAACTGCAATCCGGAGCCCTGAAGATGTTCACTTTTACTGGCACCGAAACTGAGGCTGGATGTACAGACCTGAGGGTGCTGGGGTGAGTCCGAGGTGGATGAGGCCGGGCGGGCTGGGCGGGGTGGGTGGGAGAAGTTGTATGGCACGACGGGTTCGGCCGATGCAGTGTCGGATGGCACGGAATAGCGTGAAGAGAGAAGAGCGGACTTGGAACGAGAGATATGAGGCTTAAAGAGCTAATCCCGTCATAAAACGCATCTTCCCATTATTTTCACTCATCAGACCAGTTCAGCAGCCCATCTTCTGTCTGTTCTCGCCTCCTAATTCCGGTTCTTGCCAGCCTCCGCCCCATCCTCCACACTGCCGTCACCACATCTCGTCAGACAGCCAGGCAGAGCTAGCAGAAACCCTGTTTCCTTAGGCTCCAGTCGAATGCCATCTTTTAAAGACCGTTCTAAAAGGGGCAGTTTAAGCGGGGGGCACATTCACAGAGCACAGGTTCGCCATTAACTTGACGCTCCGGCACACAGCCACAAGTTGATGACACCGGCAGACGTACATTTATGGGCAACCGGTGCGAGTAAGGTACGAGCACCCAACGGCCAGTAAAAGATGAGG